GTGATAAACGCCATTTTTTCCTGATCTGGGGGATGGAGAGGGATCTGGTGATATCCCGCTCGGGCATCCAGGAAGTCCATGCGTTCATATCCGGCAGTGGCATCCACTAGCTGGTCCACCTTTGGTAGGGGGTAGTCATCCTTGGGACATGCCTTGTTTAGATCTGTGAAGTCCACGCAGACACGCCATTTTCCCCCTTCTTCTTCGCGCAAACCGTATTAGATAGCCATTCTGGGAACTGTATCTCCCGAATGGCGTTGGCCTTCAGGAGTTTGTCGATTTCTTCGTTGACCGCGCAGGCGTGATGCGGGGCCATGCGTCGTGGCTTTTGTTTGACTGGCTTGTGCGTTGGGTCAACATGCAGCTTGTGCGTGATTATCTCGGGGTCTACCCCCGTCATCTCCATTGCGTTCCAAGCGAACACGTCCGCATTTCCCCTTAGGAACTCAATCATCTCCTCCTGTTCGGCTGTGGGCATTGCAGTTCCAACTAAGAAATATCTTTCTTCTTCTCCCTCCATCAAGGGTACCTTCCGGAGGTCCTCTACCGACCGCTCAGTTGGGTCTATCCGGGGGTCATCCATTCCTGGACGCCTGGACTGTGATTGCTATTTTTCCATGATCTCTTCCGGTGTTCGTCCCTTTTCTTGGGTGAACGCCCCGGCTCTAACAGCTGAATAAAAACAATTTTTTGCAGACGCTTGGTCCCCCCGGATCTCCATGATACCTTCTGGCGTGGCAAATTTTAGTTTCTGGTGGTAGGTGGAGTGCACCGCTCCCAACGCATGCAGCCATGTTCGCCCCATGATCACGTTGTAGGGAGAGTCCGTATCAATTACGACGAACTCGGTGTTGATGACGAAGGGACCTGTGACAACTGGCAATGTGATTTTGCCTATGGGTAGGGCGAACGAGCCGTTGAATCCGATGAGAGGTGTTCTGACCTTGGTGAGGTCCTTGAGGCCAAGACCCATCCGTTTTAAAGTCTCGGAGTACATCACTTCCGAGGAACTTCCAGAGTCTATCAACACCTTTTTGACGTCGAATTTTTCTATCTTCAGGGTCAAGACAAGGGCGTCGTTATGAGGAGTCACTACGCCTGTCAAGTCCGCGTCCGAGAACGTGATGCTTGGCTCACCAGTCCTGGCCCTTTTACTGGGTGGCCCTCCATCATCCTCGGCCACCTTCCTTGTAAAAGCTACCCTCTTGAGGTCGGACTCGAGTTCCTTGGACGTGGGGCGATCCAGGGGACATACATGGATGACATCTATGACGTTGTCCGGTTCCTCGGTCGGGGCAATGGTGTGTCTCTCTTCTGGCCTGGGCTCTATGTATTCTTTCAAGTATCCGTCTCAGACCAATTTTTTCAAGAACGATTTGTACACCCTGCAGCTTTCGGTGCGATGTCCGAAATCCCGGTGATAGGAACACCTAACCCTTTGATCACGGGTGGAGGGATCGCTCTGCATCCTGGGCGGCCATTTGAAGAACGGCTCGTGCTTGATCTTATGGAGCAACTTGAAGATGGGTTCTTTGAACATAGTGTGAACTCCTTTGGACGAACCCCTTGGAGGGGGTAGCAACCCCTTTCGGGGAGTATCTTCCCGCTCCCTCTCTTTTCTCTTGGATTGCAGGGTTCGGCCTTTGCTGCTTCCTATCTCGTCTTCGATCCTTGAGTATTTGTTTATCCGGGCCATCAGCTCCCCCATATCCGAGGGAGTCTTCTTGGTCAAGGATCGGTACAAGTCCGTGTCCCTCGCCAGGCCGAGCCGGAAAGACGCCGCTGCCATGACTTTCGAGCAGCCTTCTACCTCATTAACCTCTTCCCAGTATCGGATGGCATACTGGCGAAGGGTCTCGGATTTCCTACGTCTGAGGGTCAGCAATGATCCAACGTCTTTGGGGCGCTTACTCCCCGTAATGAATCGAGCCAGGAACTGCCTCGTCAATTCCTTCCACGACCCAATACTGTTTGGGGGAAGCGCCTCGAACCACTTCATCGCAGAGTCCCCCAAGCTCATTGGAAACACTCGGCAGAGAAACCGTTGGTCCGAATGATAGAGGGACATCATCTGCTTGTATTGCCTGAGATGGGCTTCGGGATCGGACCGTCCGTCATAAGTTTTGAACCTCGGCACGATGAACTTTCTTGAAACCTCCATCTCTCCGATCTCCCTGGTGAAGGGTGTTTGTATGATCTCGTCTTCGACCTCATCCTGGACAGCCTTACTCTTTCTCCTGGATTCCAGCCGGGCTCTGAGATCAATTTCCTCCCTGACGGGATGTCTTCTGAAGTCCTTGAGTTCATCAATGGGCCCCTCATTTCCTGGGCGCCGTGCGGATAGGGTAGAATCCTCCTCGGACTCATCCCCCTCCCTCCGTCTAGATAATCCTCGCCGGAGGTCGTCCAGGGCTAATGGTCTTGCCTTCCTTGAATGGTCGTTAGGAAGGTGCTCGTTGGCTCTCGGTCGCTTTGGAGCCCGGGAGCTCTCCGCCTTGTTGTTTAGATGATTCCTTAGATCCTTCGTTTCCACCTCCCGGGCGGGGGAGCCCACGAGAGAGGAATGAGTCCCTCGACCCTTCGCCGGAGGCGGCGAATTCGTTGAGCCGGCTTAGGACGTTTACATTGTCCTTTTCCAGCTGTCGTAATCTATCGCCAAACTTTTCTTCGATCACCTCCGCCAGCTGACGAGCCAGGGGGGCTGACCCTCCTGACCTAATTCCCATACTGGTTTGAGGGGTAACCCCTCTTGACTGAGTGGAGGCATTTTTATTCCCGTCAGTGTGATCCCTTCCTCCGTGGTGACAGGGAGCTTGTAGTTCGAGACTTCTTTGGTGGGGACCTTTCCCTTTTTGTCGAGTGTTCACCATGGTCACTGTTCTTTATAGAGAAAAAACTAGGAGAACTAGTCGTTTCCCACAGACGGCGCCAGATTGTGCGTGCAGGATCTTGCACAATATAAAAAACGAGAACAGATCTCTCCCTTGGTGAACTCGAGTGAGTCAGTTGAATGGTCAACCACGCTGCTTGGGACAGCCTGTGAGGTCTGGTGGTAACCTGGAACGGCAACGGGAGACCCTCGTGGATTGAAGGAATGATCCAGTAAGGCTGGGGAAAGGTTCCTGGAACAAAGGAGAACAAGTTAGAAGGGCGCCGGAGTGTTTTCCGGCTTATCCCCTCCGACGATCAAGTTAGTTTTTGAAAGGGAGAGGAAGAAGAAAGCACTGAATATATTTCGTAGTTAAGAGTTTTTTGTTGCATACCATTTTGCCTTTTACGAGGAGTATTTATACCTCAAAAGCTCATGATTGCTGTCAGTAGATGATCATTAGGTACAGGCAGTGTGCGCACTGATTCTGATGAGGAATGTCTTCCTTTCTTTAACTGCTCGGAGTCCCGAGCAATCAATGCTGTGTCATCGGGCTGCCGACTGTCTAATGATCTCCACTCGGGGAGGATGCAATAAATACCCAGCCTTAGAGACATTTATTGCCTTTCAATTCCGAGCCTTACCGCATTGAATGCGGTCTCATCAAGGGAATGGTGTAATTAAATGTTTGTTTTCCCAAGTCGCGTGTCAGTAAGGGCATGCGGTCTTTCTGTCTCTGATGTGACACAATTTGCCACGCGTCCATCCCTCATTGGCTGTGGACCCTGCCTTCCTGTTCCTTCTGACACCAATTGTGTAAGACGAGACCATGATAGCTAACCTAGACTAGCCTAAGCTAATGACCTGTACATCAATAGCTTATACTGGAGCAGAGAAAAAGGCATCCTGGACGGGGGTACATCTCGGTACCGAGGATAGGTACATCTCGGTACCGAGGATAGGTACATCTCGAGCCGAGGGAAGCTGTACATGACGACCGAGGTACCATATCAGACCGAGGGATACGTGTCGGTTCGTAAACGTACTCGACACGTGTCAAGTACCTCGGGGGCGAGGGAGTTGTAAGCCGATGGTACGTGATCTCAGTTAACAGGATTTTTAGTGACGCTGAGGACACGTGTCTTCATCTTGGAGTATTTCAGAAAAGTTCCATCAGAAACGCAACACCCATTCATGTAAGATGGGCCAAGTTAACATGAAGATTTCGAAGGAAGCTGAAGTGTTGGTGTTTTCTGCTAGTAGACTCGGCGTTCCATTTTTCTCGGGAGGCAATGTCTCCTGATCACTGGCAGGAGGCATGTGATGTTGGTCGTGGTTGTTCTATTCATGCGCTTAATCATCGGTATTCATTGTCGGGTAACCTGGTGAGCTTCAAACTGCTTACCAGAAACTAATTTCTTCATGCAGTTTTCGAGTTCCGTCGAGGAAAGATCCTGGAGATGCGTTCTTCAGGTATATGTTAGCATCTTGTTTCTTTGGAAAAACGTATTGACCTAATTAAACCTTACCTAATTAATGTTTCATGTAGGTAAAGGTAATATGGTACCAGTCTCCATTGCCCTTTGTCCTAAACTTGAGTCTGACAACCTTGTGTTTCACCATATGGGTGAAAACCAGGAAGAATAACCTATACCCACTTTTTAACGCTTTACTTGGGGGTGGCTCAATGCACGCATATTGTTGTTACAACATCGGGAGGGAATATATAATTATGAAAGATCTGCTGCTCAACTGGGTTGCCTAAAAACTGCATCAACAAGAAAGTGACGAAACAATTAGCTTAACAAAAAAAAAAGACGGATTTGGGAGAGGGTGACATCCACGCCACAATAGAAACCTTATAGCTGCATCACGACCAATAACCTTGTTCAACATCAAAACAAATGATGTATAAAAATGACATCAAACCAATCAATTTCAAGTAATGAGCTATCATAAGTTTCTCAAACTAAAAATTGTCACTAGCTCACTAAATATCTGATTATGGGATAAACTTCAACTTCAACTTCAACTAGTACCAAAACTACAGAACTTTCTAGGAGGAATAAAGCAACCTCAATCAAAATTGGATTAGAATATTCAACGGATAGATTTATGATGTAAGAGTTTATCATGCAGCGACCCCATTGGTGAGGAGCATCTGATCAAAATGCCAAACACCTGTAAATTGACAACCAAAATCTACATATAAAACAGAATGCATCCACACATAAAGATTAATAAAATAATTAATGAGAGTAAACTACATGTGGACAACAGGGGATAAGGAAGTACCATGGCCTTTGGCCACTCTCCGCAGCTGAGCAACGTATTCTGACAGCTTCTTGATGGCTTCCAACTAAACGTTGGAGGAAATCTTGATTAAATACAAAAAATGGTTGATTATATATACTCTCAGAAATTTTTTGCGAAGTACCATTGATTAACAAATTCTTCAAGTCAGAAAACAAGATAAAAAAGCTTCACCTGCTCAGCCAAGAATTCACTTTCAACAAAATCTGCTAATTGCACGTCATTATTTTGATCTGCTACCTTTAGTTACCCAAACAAAAGCATGTATTAGAAGAATATTATTATCTTAAGAATGGTGCATCAACAACAGCAGCTTCAAGCACCACAAAGTGAGCAATCTATTGCCTGATTTACTAAGGTACCCCAATAGAATTCACATGAATGATATTATCGCCAATGAAGGTTGGAGAAACAAACAGGAAAATCGTTAAAATAACACAAAGATAAAAAGTTATTTACCCTATGTAAATTCAGGAGTTTCTCATTCGTTAACTTCTCCAGGGACAAGGCAAGCTCCATTGCTGAATCAAAAATCACTAACAATTAGTATCATGGGTCGTTTTGCTCTTCTTCAGAAAGAACACACTCAGAGAACTGGTGACATGCACTACAAGAATATCATGGGTTATGCAGATTTTAATTTTCTAGGAGGTGGTGCAGAGCTGTCAAACCACAAGGGATATTTCTGGACTTCAATTTGGCAGAAGTGGGGAGCATCAACTTCTTGCTTAGTTCAATATCATATTACAGATACTCTTACTAGTAACAGTTGTATTGGCTGTGAGGGAAAACCTTGGATCTCTCCTTTGTTCCCCTGAAAGTGCACAAGTTGCGTCTCATTATTAGCATACAGCTAAACATTCTTAGCCAACTCTCTCTCTAGTCCTCAAATGGTGCTAAATGCTGTCATGTCATCTTTTCCTACCACTCATCTATCAACGTGCCCATTTTATCAGTTATGGACATGTCTACATCTTAATTATTGATTGCTAAGCCTGTTTTACCATAGCATAATTTATGCCAGGAACCTACAGAACGTTAATATGAAATCCACCAATAAAGAAAAGAATAAAGTAAACAGAAGACATTCAAAGACACTAAACTCAAAGGAAATCAGTAACAAATTCTTGCCACTAACCCAACACTGCAAAGCTAGGGATACCAATAATGCTGCTGTTCTAGTATCCTATGAATTTAATGCTCTGCAATACCACAACTATGAAAACAAAATAGGGGAATGATGCTCAAGGCCATAAAATGAAATTGCAAGTTTTCAAAGCTTCATGAGACTAGGACCATACATCTGGTGTTGATTATCTACTAAATGTAGTGGAATCAGATGAGAATTGAAGCTACTGCTACCGTAAGATATGTAAATTATGCAATGCATCTATATCCCTCTGAATAAATGTGGACTTAAGGCAATACAGCAAAATGTATGTAGCCGTCATGATAACTGATATACATAACGTGGCTAATGCATACAGCTTTCAGCAAAGGGATAGATTCATGTAAGCACAATTCTGTTATCCATCAAGTCCATTAGAATTCCACCAGGTGATGGGCAAGTGGAATTAAATGACAGATTTCAATTTTCAGCATGGAAAATACATTCGTGCATTAACAGAGAAAGTGGTTTCGAACCTACCATAGAGTGCATCACCCTTCTCAATGTGATCAAATTCAGATACAGGCATCAGCATAGATTGTAACTTGACTTTCCCGCCTCGTTTATTCTGAATGTAGTCAGAAAACAGTTATTTTACAGATGTCAAAATAAAAAGTGAGGAGCAAGCTAAAACAAATTTTCCAGACAAATTGATCATTGATAACTGGAGAATTCGAATGCATCATTGCAAACACCTGGTATTCCATCAATTTCTCAGCATGCTGCCTTTCTTCTTCACTTGATTCCTTGAAAAAACTATTAGCAACCAAACAATAAGAAGCAATCTAGCAAATACAGAATAGCAAGGCACTAAAATTAGCTGAATACAGGATATGAAGGAATTTATTACTTAGCTAGGCCTTTGAGAGCAACATTGTCACGGTCAAAGTAGGCGTACATGGCCTGGTAAACATAGGAGACATTGTACTCCACACTGTGGACATCAAATGTGGACACGAACATATTACATATGCAAGTGAAATGAGAATCTCAAAAAAATTAAGGATATGTTATGAAGAGTCCAGCAAGTACAGAAATTGAGGAAGCACAACAAAGCCCCAGTGCTAACAGGAAACTTCAACTCCACGTAAAACAATCAAGAAAGAAAAATATCTATAAACATAAGGCTCAAACACCCATACTCAGTTTGAGTGGGGAGAAAATTAATGCAGGAAACAAAACCAAATCAGAATTCTGATATGTCCATATAGTTCCTTATTTAGTTTTATCTTTGAAAACAACAAACAACCAAAGGAGAACATCCTTCTTCGACTCTTTTTCACCATTTTCTCGTCAACAAAACCAATAAAAAGAATATAAATCTCGCAGATAACACATCTATACAAATAAAACTCTACAAAACAGATCCAGACCAAACATCTGTATATGACTATGTCTACATACAGCTATATTTGTTCGTATATATAAAATACATATCTGAGTAAAGAGATGGAGAGAAGTAAAGCGTACTTGATCTGTTCATTGATGGCGAACTCGCAGTGATCGGTATACTTCTGACGAGCGAGCGATGCCTGAGGGACATTGGGGACGTGAAGGAGCTCCTTCTTCACTTCTTCGAAAGGCTCGAAGACGATGTCCGAGATGGCTCTATTATTGGCCTCCCTCGAAGCTTTAATCATGAAACCGCCATAGCCAGCCACATTCCTCCGAAACAGCTGCACAGCCGACGAAGCACCATAAAAACGGCTCTCCGAAGCGTTAAACGGAGAAACAGAGAAGGAATATAGAGATTGGCAGTGCATTTCTCCGTCTAAGGTTGAGAGAGAGAAAGAATGAGACGATCGTTTATATGGTGGTCGAAGGTGAAGGGGACGGGACGGAAGGTGAAAGAACGGACTGAAAAGTGCGTGTGTGCGCGCGCAGAGAAAGATATATGTAGAACGAAGATTTGCCTGGCTGGCTAGACAAATTTTTGGCCGTTAGAAGTGAGGCACGTGGACGATGAAGATTAGTGGGATTGCAAGAGGCGCGTGGCAGCCTCGTGGTCCATTGTTGTCATCGGTGCTGACTGCAGATGCTTTTCGTTATGCGTGACTGGCTTCTTAGCGCCATAGTTTATCTTTTGATTATTATTATTTTTTTTTGGATAAGGCTTTGTTAAAAAATGAAAAAAAAAATTATTGTATTAAAATTAATTAAAAATTAAAAATTTTGATATAATTTATTTATTGCTATTGATATTTGATGATACTCAGAATAATTTCTAAGTATGAGTTCAGGCGCGGAGGTTAAACAAGCAAATCAGACTAAGATGTTAGGAAAGACACGCATAGCTCAGAGCTCAGAGGATCAGAGCTAGAACTTCTCTCAGATATGACAACAATAAAAATGATAAGGGAACAACAGGATGACAACAAAAATCTTATAGGTGGCAAAGAACCATATTTGAGGCACAAAATTTTTAACCAACTAAAATCCTCTCCTAAGATCAAGGAGAGTTCCTTGAATAAATAACAGAGATCTTGGTATAGATTCCGTAGAACTAAGGACAACCCTATAAATACTATGTAACGCCCCCAAGAGTGGGGCTCTCGAATAACAAACCATCGATCTTGTAAAAATTTTCGGAGGATATACAAAGAAAGAAGGAGGAAGAGCCTCCAATGAAGAGTGGATTAGTCGAGCTCCCGAACTAGTGAACCACTATATTTTCATTATCTCAATCCCCTAATTCCCCCAAAAAAATATCAATCCTTGTTCTTTCGAGCCTTACAGCTCAAACCCTAATAGTCACATACTGCTCATCTCATCTACTTAGTATCACAAAGTTGCACCACATTGATTTACACCATCGGTTTGGCGCCGTCTGTGGGAAACGACTGTTCCTGTTACAAATACGTTGATCCTTCAATAATTGATGGTCTCAACTCGTAACATGAGTAGAAGCCAAATAATCTACCACGAATGCAAGAACAACAAGAAGCTACCAATGACAGACAGCCCGAGAATGTCCTAGAGACAAATTCCTCCATGGGAAATCCCCACATAAACAACGAGTTGGAGGCCTTTCGCCTGGTTAATTAATGTCTGCTACGGTAGAATGAAGAGCTTTTGAAACTCTTGAAACGCCCTCAGGAGGCACGATCGACCCAAGAAGGCTAGAATAACCCCTCTCACAAAGAGCAACAACACCTCGATCCTCTTAGAGAAGTTGATGAAGGAGGGGACAGTCAGACCTAGGGGCAGGATCCTCATCCACCCCCAAGGAACGGATGCAATGAAGAGGTACAAAGTTAAAATGATGAGGGTGAAAGAAATGATTTTCTCCCCTATCAATAGGAAAGGAGAGAACAATACTAGGAGCAACACTTTAAGGGCATCCAGCAAGAGCTCAGCCACATGAAGAAAGCAATGAAGGGCAAGACCCCAATCACAATGGATGCCCTGGTGCAACAGACTGAGTCCTCATTCACCACCAACGTACTACATTTCCCTCTCTCCTCAAAATTCAGAATGCCGTAGATAGAAGCTTTTGATGGGACGAAGGATCCTGTGGACCACCTCAATACTTACAAGAACTAGATGGAGCCCATGGATACTAGGACCTAGTGTGCTGCAGAGCCTTTGCCATCACATTAAAAGGCTCAGCCCTGGCATGGTTCAGTAGGCTCCCACTAGCCTCGATCTCCTCCTTTAAAGATTTTTCTATATCCTTCGTACCTCACTTCATAGGAGCTCGGATATACAGAAAGCCGAGCTATCACTTATTGAACATGAAACAAAGACCCCATGAGAACCTCAGGTCTTATATCCAGTGGTTCAACTCGAAATCCCTGAAAGTGGATGTCCCAGATGAGAAGTTTGCTATTACAGCATTTATAGTTGGTTTAGGCGTGCAATCCAAAGACCTGATGTTCTCTATTTCAAAGAACCATTAGGCAAGTATAGCTGAGGTATTGGCTAAGGAAAAAAAATACATAAACAACGAGGAAGTTCTTCTCTCAAAAGTGGGGAGCTCATCCACGCAAAAAGATAAGGGAAAAGAAGAAAAGAAAAGGGACCGAAGTCCCATGCGAGAAAGAGGACGTGATAGGTCTCCAAGAAGGGACAGAGATCGCTCCCCCAAAAGGAGAAAAAACATCAGGGATCTCTTAGGTCTGCCACAGCCAGAATTACAGTCGAGGTACGCACCTCGACAGCTTTCTCCTCTAACTGCAACGATATCTTAGATCATATATTAGGTACAGAATGAGAAATTTCTAAGGTGGCCACCTCGGATGAAAGTAGACCCGGCGCAAAGAGATCCCACAAAGTACTGCGAATACCATAGGGATCATGGTCACCACACTACTGCGAATACCTAATAGGGATCATGGTCAAGACCGAGCCCTTCCATCTCCGCCGCCTCAGCAGCAGGCTCCTGTGCAACATCAGCAACCCCTGGGGAAAATCAGAGTAATATTTGGAGGATTCGCAGGAAGGGGAGAATCAAGTTTAGCTAGGAAGGCCCACCTGTGCAGAATCAGAACTGGGTGAAACGTTGGAAGTGCACGCTATGTCCAAGGAACCTTGGCTCGACACGACTATTATCTTTCCAGACTCCGACTTGGAAGGCTACCAACACCCACATGATGACTCATTGGTGGTAAGAGCTGTTTACCGAGTTCTAATTGACAACGAGAGCTCAGCAGATATCATATTTGCTTCTGCGTTTGACAAAATGGGCATGGGTAGGGAAAAGTTGGAGCCAGTTAGTGTTCACCTGTTGGGGTTCGCAGGAGAGAGGGTATTGTCCCTAGGCTCAATCTAGCTCGTCCTCACTATGGGAGATCCTCTCTGCCTGGCCATCACCACAGTAAGATTCATGTTGGTTGATGCCCATTCTGCATATAATATACTTCTCGGGAGACCCTCCCTCAACGCGATGAAAACAATCCCCTCTATTGATCACTTGGTTATGAAATTTCCTACGAAAAATAGGGTTGGAGTGGTCCGAGGAGACCAGCGAGAAGCAAAGGAATGCTACATGACCCCGATGAAGCAGAAAAAAGTCGAGAATGTCTAGCTAGATGAGCATGAGGAACGAACTAGACACTAGGCCAACGCCATCAGAGGAGTTAGAGCCTGTTCAGCTTGATGAGGAGCCAAAACACCTTGTTTACACTGGGTCTAAGCTAAACAGGGAAATAAAAGACCTTCTTCTCCAATTCCTAAAGGAGAACGGGAGAGTATTCGCCTGGAAGCAAGAAGATATAGAAGGAATCGACCCCTCGATTATCACACACAAGCTAAGTGTGAATCCCACCTACAGACCAGTTAAGCAAAAACAAAACAAAGAACCATAAGGCAATTAATGAGGAGGTCAACAAGCTTCTCCACACCAAAGATATTAGGGAAGTCGACTACCCTACCTGGTTAGCCAATGTGGTTCTTGTCAAGAAGACCAACGGAAAGTGGTGACTCTGTATTGACTTCACAGATCTCAACTAACCATGCCCAAGGACAGTTTTTCTTTACCTCGGATCGACTTAATAGTGGATGCCACAGCTGGACAAGAGCTCCTCAGTTTCATAGACGCTTTCTCAGGATATAATCAAATCAGGATGGATCCAACTGACCAGGAGAAGACCTCCTTTGTAACTAAGTAGGGAACGTACTGTTATCAGGCTATGCCTTTTGGGCTAAAAAATGCAGGAGCCACTTACCATTGTCTAGTGAATCAGATGTTACAAGGGTAAATTGGAACATCCATGGAGGTCTATATCGACGATATGCTGGTAAAATCATTGAAAGCAGAGCTCCACATTGCACATCTAGCAGAATCGTTCCAGGTTCTTAAGGAATACAAGATGAAACTCAACCCTGCAAAATGTGCCTTCAGAGTATCTGCAGGAAAGTTTTTGGGCTTCATAGTCAACAGTAAAAGAATTGAGGGTAACCCAGAAAAGGTTAAGGTAGTCTTGGATATGCAACCACCTTCTAATGTAAGGGAGATCCAGCACTTGACAGAAAGAATAGCTGTCTTGAGTCGTTTTATCTTTAGATCGAGCGATAAGTGTCAGCCCTTTTTCAAATCTTAAAAAAGGCGTTCTAGTGGGATACCTGGTGTGAAGAAGCATTCAAGGCTTTGAAGGCCTACTTGAGCTCCCCTCCCGTTCTGGTAAGCCCCTTGGAGAGGGAAGTACTAACCTCTATCTAGCTATTTCAGATTTCTCAACTAGTGCAGCAACTAGTGAGGGAGCGAGATAGGTCTCAACAACTAGTCTATTACTACAACAGAGCTCTTAAGGGGGGCAGAGGAGAGGTACCCAAAAATGGAAAAGCTTGCCTTAGCATTGGTGACTACAAGTAGGAGACTTAGACCATATTTTCAGGTTCATACTGTCGAGGTCCCAACAAAACAGCCAATGAAACAAGTACTGCATAAACCAGAATCTTCGGGAAGGTTGATAAAGTGGGTCATGGAGCTCAGCGAGTTTGACATCAGGTTCAAGCCTAGAACTACGATCAAAGGACAAATTCTGGCAGATTTCATCACAGAGTTTACAACACCAGCACCTATGGAAGCAACGTCGCTAGTGCCTAACCTCCCCACATGGAAGCTTTCTATAGATGGAGTTGCCAACGCTCAAGGAAGCGGTGCAGGCTTGATACTGACCTCTCTAGATGGAATAGACGTTGAATATGCCCTAAAATTTGGGTTTAAGTCTTCAAACAACGAGGCAGAATATGAAGCCGTCATTGCTGGACTTAATCTTGCTCACTCGATGGAGATAGAGCAGCTGGAGATCTGCAGTGATTC